TAGAAAACTCACCTCCAAAAGTTCAGTAAAATAGTCCAAGGTTTTGCTAGAAATCGTGGTAATCTTCTGCAAATGGAGCTGATGAACTGATGAACTTCAGAAGAAAATTCCTGAAACACAACCTGACGATTTTAGAGTATAAGATAGCACAGGAAATTGTGCTCATTGGAAATGCCTTTTCTATTATTACTGCTTTCAAATGCAATTGAGAGGAAGAAATAGATACAAGAATACTTGCAAGCCTCTTAGTTTCTGGGCATGCTTTGGCATACTTTAGCATTGCAGTCCATGGCAAAACCCCTTCCTCTTCTCCTGGCTGAGAAGGGAATAAGAAAAAGAAAAGGGGAGGCCAACAAGTGATACCATTCTGTTTCTCTGATCTGGAGACCAGGTTTGTCACCGCCTCATCAGACTGCATCCTAAGCTTCGGGATATTTTGTGTTTTCTTAAAGCTCTGGTTGCTAGAACTGAGAAGTGAGCCCTTATGATTTTAGAGAACACCTATTAAAAATTGAAGACATTGCAAGGTTTAGAGCCTAGAGGGTAAATACTGCCAACTGTCTGTTTCACACTTTTCTCTTTTCTTTTTTTCCCCTACTCCCAGGAGTAAGTTGGTCAAACTGGCCACCATAATGGCATTTCTACCTCCTGGGACACTAATGGTTCAGACAAACCTGTGGTGAAAATGGAAGATGTCATTTCTGGGTTTTAAGCTACCTTTTTACGTGCTGATGGTGAGAAGCTATGGACACAAGTTTCTGCTAGGGCAGATGGTGAAGGAGGTGGATTCTGGGCTGTTGGGGAGCAGTGGCGGTCCAGACCTTAGATGCACATCTCCTGTCTGGTCTTAAGGGGCTCTGTGCTGAAGAAAGAGGAGGAGGAGATTTTTTGCTTTCACCATAGCCATGGCATAGGACTGGAGTAATACCTACTGGATTTAGAGCTGTTTCCTACCACAGGTGGTCTTTCTTCTCTCATGACAGTGGCTACATGCAAAGGCACAGATACTGCATTTGAGAAACAGGGCTGTGCTGACAAACAATGGATGGGGTACCTGAGGTGTTCCACAGAGCTGCTGCCTTGGTGGGTATGTGACTGGATAAAATTATCCTCTTGTAAATCACCCCTGAGGGGAGAAGAAGAGAAATGTGATGTGCCTCACCTCTGAAGGGTCATTAGTGCAGCAAGCTCCTTGTACCGATTCCAGTGATGAACGTGTTTGACTTGAATTGTACAAAATCTGCTTTAAAAATTCATGTTTTCTTTTTCCTCCTGCCCCTGTTAGCTCTGTGTGCTGTTTGAAAAATGACTCACCCCTCTTGAGACCGCTTTAAATTCAAACAGCTGAATCACTGCTTTTGACCGATGTTTTGTTGAAAGATTCCCCTGGCATTTGCCAGCTCTTTTGGGCAAACACCTTTTTTGCCTTGCCTTGCTGATACATTTGTGTGTCCCATCAGAGAGTGCAAGATAAAGGTTTTGAGCCAGTTTTTGTCAGAACAGTGGAGGCAAACTTCAGTTCAATGTGAAAGTCAGGCCAGGAAGTGACAGCTCAGGTGTGCGGAGTGTGACCCGTCCTGGGTGAGCCTACACATGGTGCGGCTTCATGCTGTGCGTGCAGCAAAAGGTGTGTGATACAGTACAGCTGCGGGTACCAGAGGGGCTGGGTATTTTGGCTGTTTTCGGGTGTATTGTTGTTACTTGTAAATAGACGTTTAGGACAGTTTTGTATTCTAAACAATGACACCTGGAGACAAAAAGACTATCTGAGAGTTAGCGTAAAAAAGCTATGATCACACAAAGGAAAAAATACACTTTTCTTACTCACCAGAACAGTCAGGAGTGGACAGGGTTTATGTTGATCACAAATACTCACAGATTTTACCGTTTTGTCTGCAATAACACTAAGGCAACATTTGCTTCAGGAAAATATTCTAGATGCATGGCATGGAGGCTAAATTTTAGCCAAGCTATTTCTTTCATGATGTAGCTGTTATCTTTCTCATTTATGTCTTGAATAGGTGTTGATAAATGTTCCCATTTGCAGTAAAATTCAGAGGCAAAGAGGGTTTCATCTTAGTTTTCCGTGACCATATGCAATCAGGAACTATTAATATTGATCATCACAATCTAATTCAAAGCAGAGAGCAAAACTTGGGATGTTAAAGCCTTGGGCAAAATTGTCATAATTTACTGTTACGGGGAAAACCTGATGGTTAGCTGCTTAGATTAAAAATCCCTGAGAGTTTTCCACAGGAAAGTTTTATTAAAGGCATGCCATGAAAATATAGTTATACAGCACTCCTTGCTCACATATATAGTTACATATATATTTATGTATCTGTAAAAACTAATTCCCTTGCCTATGTTAAATGACATTTTAGATCATTTAAGGGGGGGGGGGGGGGAAATCTTTATAATACCATAGAGTTATTTGTATCAGTTGTATTGCTTTTTTTCTAACTTCTTGTATTTTATTCAGCTCAACCAAATGCTTTTTTTTCCCCGAAAATCCCCAAAGCTAGAACCAGAAGGATCAGTCAGCTTCCTCAGGATAGCTCATTCCTGTCATTGTGTCTGCGTGGAAACATTTTATCTGAGCATAACTGGTTTTGCACCATGGAAATATTTAGCTCAGCTTGAGGAAACCAGTTTGGTGTTCTCAAATACCAGGTTGGTGCTGTGAGCTGGGGTAAGGCTGCCCTTGGTGCTTGGGTATGCATTGTTGGCCTATGGGACAGGGACAGTGCAGGAGAGGGAGCACAGGTCCCCCGCCGCCACCACATCCATGCATGGCAGTGCTCAGGCTTGACTGTGGTGTGTGGTGACGAGTTTTGTCAGGGCAGTGCAAGCTGGAGCTGACACCGGCCTGGAATGCCTGAACCCCGTAACCAGGACTTGGGAGAAGGGAGCAGGGCAGCCCTTTTCTCGCTTCCTGAGATGGCACCGTGTGTCCTGCAGGGCTTTGCCCACTCCTGGGACACAGGCAGGACCCAAGCCTGTAAGGATCATTTTCACACTGCTGTGCACTTGGTGAGGTGGGTACAGTGAGCTGTACTGCAAGAATTGGAGACGTGACTCCCATGGTTCAGGCACGGGTGCTCAGTTTCATTCAACATCATCTTACTGAGGAGCACATGGCAGCCATGGCCCTGGGGACTGCAATGGGACTGTGGATGCTGCCAGAGATTAGCTGCCGTCATCCTCAGGTGGCACCAAGCTCTGTGCCACAGGTAACCATGCCCAGCTGTCATCCCCTGGGAGTGCATGCATCACCTACATGTGTATGTTCATCTCTATGAGGCATTTTAGGCAATTGTAGGTGGTACCAAAGTTACACTCTCAAACTCGTTACAGGCTGGCAGAGTTATAGTCTGCCCACATTTATAGAATAGGCTATTAAACCGATACAGTGGGTCACACTACATGCTGAGAAACACTAAAAACCCAGCCTCATGTACCCCCTTCATAGATACTGAATGTCCACAGTTTGCAGACTGCAACCTGGGCAAAGTTCTTCTCAGCAAACAGCTGTATATATTTAAGTGCAGGTATTTTTCATTGAATGATAGTTTTTGAGCGCAGGGCACCCTTGCCAGGCACGTTTTTTTGTCCCAGCCTTGTGTCTGCATTTGTTTCTCTACAAATTTTTCCATGGAAAATTGTCAGCTTGGAGATAGCAGTTTAGCTGGATCAGTTTTCATTTTTCTCTGAACGTGGCATGCTGCCAGCAGGTTAGAGTTGAGGGCCAAGCATCTGGAATCTGAAGTTCTATTCCCAGCTGTTCCATTAACTTGTTCTCCAACCTTAGGCAAGTGGGTTTGGGGTTATTTTTAATTGCATCAACAGAAACAGTGTGCCACCTCAGAGGGTTTAATTAATGTCTGTAAAATATTTCAAGATTGTTGGATGAAGACAGGAATGATTCCACACGGTACCCATGGTGTCTGATGGCCAGGCCCAGGGCATGCCAGCCCTCTGTTTGCAGAGCAGGCACTAGGACATTGGTATCAACCTGACGTATGAGCCGCTTAGTTCCCTTCACTCCCTACCTTAGGCACCTGCATCAACTGCCAGTTTCTTTTCTCAGCTGATCATGTTAAAGCTCTAATTGTATTGATTTTAGAGCAAATAGAATTGATTTTAGAGTAAATCACCTGGAGATTGTAGGGGAGATCCAGAGCCCATTAAAATCACTAGGGACCTTCCATACACTTTGGTGGATCTGGGGTGAGCAAGGGCAGTATTTACCAGATCAATGCTCCAACTATGTTAATATGTAAGACCATGTTGAAAAGATAAGGAAATGAAGATGGAGCTGATCCAATCCATTCATCAGCTTCTTTATGACTTAGCTATCCTGTCCCATTCTTGTTATAGGCGTGGGTGATATGGCTGACAGGTAGACACAAGCCAGATCATTCTTGGTTATCATGAAGTCCACATTCACACAACAGAATCTGGCTTCTTCCCTGTTTTGAACAATAAACTGAGATGAAAAGGATTGTGTTGCTAGTTATGTGAAATGTTTTAAGTGAACTTGAAAAGAAAAAAAGGCCTGGTGTACGACCATATCAAATAGGTTTTTAGCCTAATGAGCAGTGTCTAAAGCTTCCCTGTGTCACATTCTTGGATCTTACATCCAAGCAAAACACCCACTAATTCTAACAAGAACAGAATTCAACCCCATTTGTAAAAATAAAATATGCAGGCTTATAAGGCTGAAATTTCCTCAGTGGAGGAATTTCCTGTAGTAAAAAAAAATCCTCATTAAAAGAAAAAGAATCAGGGAGAAGTGCCACAGAGAATTTAAAGTACCTGTTTTTTTTAATCAAGAACTGCATCTGTAATATTTTGTGCATATAGGTAGCCCAAGACTGAGCCCAGCTGTACACTGTTAGAGTAACAGATCTGTCTGCATTAGCCTCTGTGAAGAAGCTTGTAAACAGAGGAGGAGAGTCACTGTGAAGTCTGAAAAAAGCCCCTCTGAAACATAAGGCAGCTGTGAACATGACTTACCTCTGCGGTACAGCCATTCCTCAGTGAAGCAAAAAGGGTCTCATAGCTCTAAGGAAAAAGAAAAAGGGGGCAGGAAACTTTTATTTCCTTAAAATCTTAACATGTGCCTGTTCAATGTTACTGCAGGAGCACCACAATGGTCAGAGCTATGAAAGTGCAGATACTTCATGGATGATCTACAGACTTTCTAATACAGCTATCAACATACAGACCAGTTTTCTCAGAGCTGCTGGTAACTGCAAAAGGTAGGTCTGAACTGGGTTATGTCTCTAAGATACTTTTTAGATTAGCTTCTCCTTATAACTCCAGAATCCAGAGTTAGTTGTGACCTTTGAAATGTCTTTATTCTTCTCATCATTGGTTTGACTCTCTATACTCCAAACTAAGATATCATTAAATAAGCTACATTTAATTTAGGTGCTCCTAACAATTAGCCCTGTAAGCTACTCCTGTCTCTAGATCTACTGAGAGCACCACGAGGGGTGCCTGGGTATGAGAGTGTCTCTTTGTGCTAGCTTTACTACTGCAGCACTGGAGATTGATGACTGTACCATGCTTGACCAAGGTCTGATTATTGTGCCATGCACATGGCTACCTATACAGATGCAGTTATGCTGTTTCAGTGCTGGAGCAGACCTGACTAGCAATGCTGCCTGTATCCTGCCCTGGTGCAGTTCATGCCAGGCTCAGATCTTTGGCAATGGAAAGAGGAGGGAAAAAGGGGGGAGATTTTAGCAGCACATTCCCAGTTTGCCGTCTAACACTGTTCTGCCTGAGAGTTTTATCCTCTCCTTTGGCTTCCTGTGTATCAGTAAGGCAGGAAATGGTGTATTCACAGTGATTCCCAACTGAGGAGACCAGTCCTGGGGGGTTACTCTTGTAGCAGCCATTGCTCAGAACAGTTTCTTCTGGTCTTGAGGGCTACATGCCTATGAAGGCAGCCATCTCCTTCCTCAAAGCTTGGCAAGGCGCAATGATCTGATCCTCTCCCAAGGCCCCACTGCTGAGGCCTTGTAGTGATCTCATCTGTCCTTGGGTTTGTCACTTGCTGGGAGAGGCTAAAACTAGCATCTTTTCGCAGCAGACTGTTAACAGAAAGGTTTTGGCCACAGACATTCCAGTTGGTCATCGGTAGTGGAGCAAAACTACTGGTGAGTCTCTGAAATCATCTGTCAGAGAGCAGTTTTGGGTTAAATAGGACCTAACCAAAGGCCAGCTCATCACCCAGTAGCGCTAACACCCCACAAACCTCTGCTGGCCCAGCAAGCGGGGTGATGGCCATTGCTGGTGACCAGCACAATAGGACTGCTTGCAGGGCAGAGCCTTGCAGCCCAGCTGGCAGTCCTGCAGCTTACCCCACGCAGCACATGCGTGCAGGCCCCCAAAAAGAAATTGCTTAAAAGTTTAAAATTAATAATTCAGCACTCCTTTGATTTATGAGTTTTAACTAGTGCAGAATGTGTGTCCTGCCACATCACTTCAACCTTGAAATGGTTCACAAAGAGATATGATTCAGACTCTGAATGTTTAAAACCAGAATCTAATCTTAGATACCTTATGTATGCTGTCATCTCAAAAACCCGATAAAGACAGACAATGATGGACAGCACAGATTGAAATTAAATTCAAGCTCTGTATTAAAAAACCTGTCCTACTAATTCACATGAATGATTAACCACAAAGACACTAAAGTCTGTGAGTCACAGCAGTGCTGAAGTGGTCTGTGTCATCACTGTCTTGGTTAACTTTAGAATAAAATAGTCCAAACCCACCACACAGGGAAAGTTCATCACCTCCTCTTTCCCCTCTTTTCTCTCAGAGATGCAGCTAAACTATTAACGTTTTCCAGCAAACAGAACATTTCTAATCTTCCTTTCACTGGAAAGAAAGAGAAAATCACAACCATAACCTAAATCAAAAGCTATAATAGCACTTGGGCAGTTACAGGCTCTTACTATAGAGAGATGGGTCAAAGCAACCAGCATTTGAAACTTCACATGCAAAGAGCAAAAACATAAGTCAACACAGCTCTCCACTGAATATTATTGTAAGAGGAGTAAGCGCACCAGGGTATGACCCTATTAAATACCGAACCTGTAGCTCCAGAATAGCACAAAACCCAGATGGATGATCTCATCTCGAGCAGTAATGTGCCAGAATACAAATAGAGGATTGCAAATGCTTCAAGTGCACAAGAAAAACAAAATAAGACTGTTAAAATAAAAGGTGGAACATTATATAATGACAGCTGAGCAGAATGAGGGATTCTAGACCTGCTGCTGCTGCAGAAACTGATGGTGATCATTCTGTTCCCTTAGCTGGACTTTAAGGCCTCATTATGGGTCTTCTGGATGTTATAATCTTATAGCAGTTTCACAAAGTAAAAGCAGCAATAAGGCTAAACACCCCATCAAGTGAACGAGATGTGGATATTTAGCCTTTTCTAAAGGCTAAATAATGGTAATGTCTGTATTGGTTTTTAGTTTGGGCCTAGCATAGTGCACGCACCAGTCTCTGGCAGAGGGTGCTGCAGACTTCAGGTGGAGCAGAGGTCAACTCTGAAGGGTCAGTTGCGTTATCAGGTATGAATAGTATTGTACGTAACCAGTGGGTGTTTATTAACAAAACAAACACAATTTAGTTTGGACAGATGGAAGTGTTTTATATTTCAGTAAGTCTTTCTGCTCTGGCATAAAAAAAATCCACTGCTGTCATTTCCCAATGAGCTGAGACTGAGAGGGCCTGTGTGCCCATGGGGGCTTCAAGTATGAAAAGTAAGAGCATGACTAATCCATGCACTGATTGTTTCCTTCCCTGGGCTTTCAGAGGAATGTAACGTTGTGGTCCAGCAAGTGCCACCGAAACACAACACAAGGTGAAAACCCACACGAAGAAGGGGCACATGAAAGAGGGCAAGGAAATGAGCCAGACCCACAATAATGAAATTCCAAATAACATCCTGGAGGCAGCTTTACAATTATGAGTATTGCCATGGACCCAGATGCAGCTGCAAGATACATGGATTTTGGTTTGGTTTATATCCCATGGATTGGTGTCCAGGCTCTGCAGCTAGCAAGTATGATCTCTTACTGAATAGGAGCGTAGCCACAGGAGAGGGAAGATTAGGCGTATCAAAGGAATACATTTTTCATTTCACTCCTTTCTTATTACAGTAGATTAAAAGGGGGGGAAAAAAGAGTTTTGTTCAACATTCAATTTTGAGGAGAATTAAATAAGCCAAAAACATTGTTCAGAATTAGAGCAGTGAATAAAGGATTTCAAAAACACAGTGTGTGGTTCATGGTGGGATTTTTATTTCCTTTTAAGATGAGCCATATACAGCTATTGTCCCCTCTCCCACTGAGGAAATAGTTTCTTTCTGAAGTGTTCAATCTGTTAAGACACATAGGTGCTTTAAAAGCTTAAAAAAAAGAAGGCAAGCACTCAAACTCTCTTCTGGTTCAAATGGCAATTATCTGAAAAGGAGCAAAGAAACAGGAATATGTGGATAAATGAAATAGCTTTTGATTGCCTGGCTATGAATGATAGTAAGATTTGTCCTCTTTGGGAATGACACGCAGTAGCTCACAGTATACACTGGCAAGACAAAAGTCAGCCCTGAATGACTGGTACAACAGCAGTGATCTTACGTAACATGGATGGTTATTACAAGCCTGCACAGGAGCAGTCGCTTTCTTCTCTAATGGGTGGAGAAATGCTCCTCATCACCAAGCCATAAGTGGGCGTGGGCAAAACTTAAACACTTCCTGATAACTATGGGTCTGGGAAGTCTCTTTTCCTTCATTTCTGCAGGGATTGTTAAACACTAAGACTTCCACAGTCGTTGTCAGGCTCCATCAAAACAAAGGCTAACAAAAGAGGAAGGCTGAAAGACCAGCTCTGGTTTACAATTCCATCATTCATCAAACAAAGGTTTCTCAAAATGAAGACAGAAACACAGACTAGGCAAGCACAGAGCCTGAGAAAACAATTACTGATCATTTTAGCATGTGTGCTGCTGTCATTGATTCTCTAGGGAATCCCATGCTCCAGGCAGATCTGGCAAAGCAGACCTCTAAGAAGACAGGAGCTTGTGTAACAGAGAACCTGGAAGCTTCAGGTGCTGAGCTTGGTGGTGTTGAGCTGGGAATGAGGGATGAAAGCAAGTCACAAGGATCACCGTGCTGAGATTTACAGTGCAACAACTCTAGTGAGTCAAAGTGCCACATTTCAGTCCTTCAGAGCGTGAAGCAGAATAGCAGAGGACTTGAGCCAGCCATTGGGAGAAGAATGGCAGCCAGCCATCCTCCTTTAAACTTCTGAAGCAGACAGTCTCACTCCTCTGACTGCGAGAGGAAGAACCCCAAGCAGCTTCCCCTATAAGCTTTTTCTGAGAGAAGACAATAGACTTGGAAGAGGCCCAGAGAGAAGGCAACCTCTGCTCAAGATACAGAATTCTTTAGCAAGGGAGTTCTCAGAGAACTGTTACACCACATGCTTAGGTACAAATGGGAAACCTGACTGGACCCTTAGTTTATCAGGCTAAATGGAGTGTTGCAGCCATGGGCAGTATGTGAAAGTGGGGTTTCCTGATCATATTCAGAGACTTTATTTAAGGCCATACAGGTACATGCTACGAGGGCATACTGTGGTTGAAAACGGTTGTGTTGCTAACAGGACTTGAGAACCTGGAACAGTAAAGGACTGGCCACAAAATCTCATCAGTTGGCAAATGCAGGACAGCTGAATTTCAAGCTCAGAACCATTTCAAATCTTATGCAGCTGGCTAAAAATCCCATGACAGTTTGTGTATTTGTGAATTTATGAATTCCAGTCTGAGTTTCTGAATTCTCTGTATGGTTCTGTTTATAGTCATGGCTCTGCTGGCCTTCAAAGGTTGCACAGCTTAGGCTGAGCAGGCTGAGACACATATGTCCAACACAGCAGCCTGCAGAAGAGGGAGGTTCAAGTATGGCTGTAACAGACCGATCAGAGAAACCATCTTGAGGAAGCACTATGCCTCACGCATGCAAGCTAGCCAAGATCCCCTCCATCCATAACTGCTTGCTTGTAATCTATAGCATGCAGAGTGGCAAAAAGATCTAGTAAGGTGTCAGAGGGAAACCTGGCACTAGAGAATAAAGAGTAAATTCCTGGCCAGAGGCAAAAAGCCCCAAAATTCTCTTCAGCTGCATGAGTTGCTCCATATTAGGGAAGTGGGGGCATCATCTGAGATCTCTATGTGCTTGTTTGCTGGTGAGGAGACAAGGAAACCCTTTGGAGAGGCTACAGTGAGCACTGGTATTCAGACTTCCTGCTGGTGGTTGACAGCCTGCACCCATCTCTGAACTGTGGCTGGGAGATGTCCAGTCAGGGGAGTTTTGTTCATAGGTGCTGCTATGGAGTACAGTGGCTCCCATTATGCAGAGGGAAGGTTCTTGTGCTCAAAGAAATGCCCCGTAGAGGGGTTGCAGTAGGGATGAAAAGGAGGGAGACCCCCAGTGTGCTTTTTTCTTGCAGATGAACCAGATGGCAGGAGCAGCAGAAACCAAAGGAGGAGCAGGAAGCCTTTAAGAATGAGATTGCTAAAACACAGGGAAAATGGAAGTGAAAAACTCGGCCTGGACAAAACCGAGCACCAGAATGGAAAAGCAAGCCCTGGAGGAGCTTAGCCAAAAGGGGAAAGAATAAAGAAAAGCAGCTCAGTTCTTCAATTCAAATTCCAATTCTGTGCTTTCAGGAGAGGAGTCTTAGAGAAACTGAAGAACTGGCATTGTCTCCTTTGTAGTTGCAGCTGCTCACAGTCACTGCCTCCATGTTCCCAAACCTAGGCAGTGCCAAAAGCCTGCCGATTTCCCAGGATGTAGAAAAAGAGCACCTCAGAGTGACCATCACAAACTCACACATGCCAGGAGACACACAGGTAAGAACGGTTCTGCTGCAGTATGCCACAGCCCACGGCAGCTCATTATTGGCCGCAGCTGCTCTGCATCAAGTCATTGATGGTGGTGGACATGTAATGTTCCCACTGAAAGCCCTACTTGCTCAAGCAGGGCTTTCTGAGCTCTCTGGAGAGGTGCTGCTGAGCCTGCGTATTAACGGGCTTTCAGGTCCCAAGACAGATTTATCAGGCAAGAAGCTCTCGCTGCAGGATGTTGCACTACACGCTCTTCTCAAGAGTACTCTCATTTTTCAGAGCAAATGCCCATAGAAAGGGCATGATGTCAAGCGTACCATCTGCAGGATGCGCTGTGCTCCTCTATTACCAACCGCAGACCGACAGACGCTGCTGCTCTATCACCCCTGGAGGAAGCATTACAAATCTCTTTCGGCACCCACCCCCCAGTTTCAGTAAAGATCCATGACACTTGATGGAAAAAAACAACATTGTATTTGATTTACAATTAACAGGATTTACAAATAATGACAGAGAAACAGATTAGCCATGAAATTAGGATGCCTTTGCTGATGAAGGAGTAGCTGGCAAAGCACCTTTATGCAGAAGTCATGTACCTCAGTCCTAAACAGCGTAAAATAACTTACAGCCCAGGCAGGTTCAGGAATGATTATACACAAATAACAAGGAGTTGAGTACAAAATAAACCAAGAAACCCATCCTAGCCAACTGGGTCGGGAACCAGCTCTGGTGAGGCTTTTGCTTGCTGGAAACTGAAGGAAAGGCCCACTGACAAATACTAGGCAATTGTCAAAAAGAGTGGGGGGAGATATATCAACAAACAGTAAAAGCCACTGTGTGACAACCTACCGGGCAGGGAGAGCAGGCAGCAGACACTGCGTCAGCTTGCTGAGAATCAGCAGAGTCCGGGCGCTTGGCAGGACAGTGAACGAAGGAGTACAGATGGCAGCGCTTCATTAAAATGCTACGTTACTGCCAAAGACTTGCGAGACAAAGAGGAATAAAGTTCTCTGATGTGCAATACAGCAATTTAAGAAGACGTACCTAACCTTTTGATTTGTACGGAGCTTACCTCTATTGTAAACACACACTTCCTGACAAGTTATTTCAGTTTTCTTTGCTATGGGTCATGGTGTGTATTCAATCAAATGCAGCATTCCAAGGCTCAAAACTGACTGAGTGGTTTCCAATAGACTGGTATATGATTTTTCCAATATCATACTAGTATTTTACATCACAAATACAATAAGAACAAGTGATGGTATTTCTAGGACAGTTCCAAGATTCAAATAAAAAAATCATCAGAACCATTCTAAAATAAGATATTATACATAATCGAATCATGTTAAACAGCACACTCTCGGCAAGCAGCTAATTACAAGCATTCTGCTGGTCATGTTTTTCACACAAAAGTCATTCAATAGCACATAAATATTTCTTTTCTGATCTGCTTCTTTTTACAAAACCATTCATCAGATTCACAGAATTAGTACAAGTAAGGCACATTAGCATATATCATAAAACTCACAATAATAACAAAGAGTTGTAAAGTTTTAAGGACTAATTCCTTCTTTGCAGTGATTTCTGAACTGCACGAGGCTTTATCAGTAGAACCCTCCTACACTGACATTACTCTTATTTCCGTCACAGCCAGCCGTGGTGGGTGCAATACTGTGCATCACCACGGACATAAATAATTAATTTAAAGAACTGTGTGTGACAGCAAATCCCATTTTCAGATCTTGCAGAGAAATCTGACACGTTCAGGATGTTCATTATGAGCACAGACTAAGTTTTAGAGCTATATGGAAGTCAATTTCCAGTTATCAAAATAAAAGGGGATATTGCATGGGTCTCTGAAAATGTTACTGTTTTCCTAGTACAAATATTGCTTAACCTAGAAAGGATGCTATAGTATTGAATTTACTTGCATAATGAATCCTAAATGCTGATGTCTCAGATTCTACTAAATTAAATGAACTATAGGGTTTCCTTCTTCCACCCCCCACCCTGCCCCCAACCAAAGGACTCTCCGTCCCACAGAAGATTCATTTACACACGACACAGCTTTTAATTAGAAGCATAATTTACAGTAAAAATTCTTTACATTACACCTCTGCTATCAAAAAAACATGAAATCTTTCATTTAAAGTTGTAATTATACATTAAAAAATAGAACACTATTTCCTTAACAGGAAGAATGAATTTGAACATCTTCAGATCAGATTTCTTTATTGCGGCTTTTGAGTCAAAGGTCCGTCACTTTATTCTCTAACGCAGCTGCTATTTGCTGTAAACGGAAGGCAAGCTGCATTTTTTGTGCAGCTGGATCCTCTTCAAGTGCATTTATAATCTGGAAGAAATAAACACAGAATGTTTAGAATCATTTAACTTAAAATACATGACAGTTCCTGGACCCAGTGTTTGATACTACATGGGTTGCAGAGTCTTTTGCACTGACTCTATACCAAAGATAAAGTCCATCAAGGAGGTCCCATGTTCTATTTTTACACAAAGGCAATAAAAATGATTGTCTCCATTACTTTATCTAAGTCATTGTAATGTTTCCCCTTATGCTGAGATCCAAGCAAATGAATGTATGTGAAATATTACATTCCAAGATGGAATATTATAGCTATTTATCTTTATAAATAATCTTTATTTTTTATATCCTTATAATCCTTTATATATATATTTTATATTTTTATAATCTTTTATTATTTATAAATATCTTTATAGCAATTTAAGAAACAGTGCCTTTGCTTACAGCGCACCCTACAAGGCTTAAGGGTCATTTACCAGCAGCAATTAAGCCCCATCCCCATGAGCTTTGGTTATGAGATGCTCCTGGGTGGTCCATGCACAGGCATGAGGTAGGGCAACATGAAATCTCTTGTGTCTGTCGGCAATACGAGGAAGAAAACAGCCTGGCCACAACATTAGGGAGCTGCCCTTTGGCTCTCACTGAGAAATGCCAAGGCTCTGGCCCAGCACCACGTAACTTGGGAAGCAAAGAGCTCATTAGAGGAGCTCCCCAGCATCCCACACGCTGCCCCTGCTCTACAGAATATATATAGGAAGGTATGACTTGAAGACACCAGGGATTTGAAAACAAGAGCTAGAAAAGGTCAACTGTTATGAGAAGGCTTTTTTTCAAATAGAGTTTTTTAGGGCTTCTCAAGATCAAATTTCAAAGGTTTCGAAAGGTTTTCATTTCCACCATCCTTTAGGAAAACCCTTCCACCAACTATTAGATTTCTCCAGTAGAAGAATGTGTTACATGACAAAACTTCCTTTTCTAGGACTGGCTTTATGAATAGAAGTCAGACACTCTAATCAAGCAGAAACCTTTAGCTTCTGTTTAAATACTATATCAACTTGCAAGTACAAGAACTGGAGAAATAGAGTTTGCCTGTCACTACCTGCGGTTCTTACTACTTCGTGCACATCACTGACAATGGAGATTAATGCAGTCACTATCAATCTAGCCAATAATTTCATTTTGAAAGGCTGGTATAGCAGTTGAGTTTCAAACAGCGAAGCAGATTTGTTTGGAAATAATTATTTTAATGGATCTGGTTTTAAAGTGTGAAAACATTTTTACAAGACAGAGTTAATAAATACTTATTACTGTATTTAAATTGGGCCTAATTTAATTTGATATTGTTCCCTTAATTTAAACAATTACATCTAGCTATAACTCCTCAAATCTAGAATAAATAATTCATGATTATCTCTGCTGGTGAATATATCCTTCAAATAAATGTGGACAATTAGAATGTACCCACTTAGTCACTGTCAAGCCCTGCAGAGATACAGAAGGTACAGCGCATGCTGGGAACCACTGCGTCAGTAATAAAGACAAGGGCAGCTGCAAAATGTTCCAATTTATGCAAATTAAAACATTTTCATGGAAAATAAATAAGCTCCATTAATTTTACTGAATGGTTCTTGACAGATTATCTCCATAACTCTGAATTAGCAGCCTTTTCATCAGATGCACCTTGTTGTTACACAGTGATGTATGCAGAAGCAAGAGCTGTAGCCACACACAGGGACTTGCTGTCTGCCACTGTTGAAGTTCCACAGGCTGGTGACTCCACCTGACCCTGCCACCAAATGTGAAGACACGAGGGGAAGCAGGGACACAGGGGTGTGGAAGAATCGGGGCTTTATGGTTCAATCGTCATCTGGGGTCCCTGTGGGTCCTGGTAAGAGGTCAGGCCATGGATCCATTTAGGAAGGTGTTGAAAGCCAGCTTGGTTGGTGCTGGGGATGAGGAAACCAATGCCACCAGGTTGGCCTGCATCCCTCTGGCTGCTTCCCCTACCAACCCTTGTTGCAAAACTTCTCAGAGTAATTTGATTTTCCCTGCTTACATCTGCTTAAATGCTGCAGCAGGCTGGCTGCTCCTGTACAAAGCAGATGCAGTGAAGCTGAGGATGAGACTCACTGACTTCAGTGCTAAACGTAAGTGAAAACATGAACTGTGCTGAGGTGCAGGACAAACCAAAGAGAGCTCACATGTGCTGTACTCCTTTTTTGTTCAGCATCTGTTCTTGCTTTGATTTAATTCTGAGAGTTTTTTGGAGGCATTCATTTCCATGGAAACCTTTGAATAAAAGTTTCTTTCTCTCTTTTTGTTTTCAGATTAAGTTTGGAGAGCCATAGCCACAGCCCAGCTATACTGGGAATTTCTTTGTCCCCCTTTCTACAGGGTGTGAAAAACAGAGAAACATTTTGGACTGAATCCTTTTGAATCAGGCTATATTCCAGTTACTCTACTTTGGTTTACCTGGGGCAGGAACTTCATTGGGCACAGCAAAATGGGGACAGGAGCACGCATGGAAGTTTCAAGTGCATCTTAACTAATAAGAAAGGCATGGCTCCATTGCTACAAGCAAAACAAGTTTAATGGACTGTTCCTAATAAAAAAAAACCCACTGGCTTGAAACCTGATACAGCTCTTACGACTC